GCTTGGAATGCAGCCAAGGATCAATTACCCAGCAAAAATGAGCATCATTTTTCAAGGGAGGAGGTGGATATTCAATGAAATAGGAGACTTCCAAACTTTCCTGATAAAAAGACCAGAGCTCAACAAAAAATTTGATCTTCAAGTACAGGACTCAAGAAGGACTTAAAAAGGTAAATGGGACAGAAAGATACAATATGTTGTTAATAAGGGGGGGCTGTTTAAACCCCTACAAGGGAATATGAGACTTGCAACCCTTGAGAACTGTATTGTTATTACACCTGTTAAAGGAGTATACATAAAGAGGGTGGATATTAGTTGACTTTGATGTAATGATAAAAAAAAATCTAATCAAGTGGGTTAAATGGATCCAAATAAGTGGATCAATCTGATCTTAGAAAATGTACTGAGAAAGGAGGAGGCAGACAAGGGTAAATTACATTACAGGAAAAGACACAAAATCCTATTACAGCAGAGGGAAAGAAGGGAGGGGGGCATTGTTTGAACCTTACTCTCATCAGATTTGGCTCAAGAAGGGCATAATATAATCAGTTAGGTATAGAAATCTAACTTGCCCTATAGGCAGTAGGAGGGAAAAGGGGAAAGAAAAGGGAGGGGGAAAGAAGGGAGGGGGAAAGAAGGGAGGGAAGAAGCAGTAAGACTAAAGGGGAAGAAAAGGGAAAGGGATAATAAAAGGGGAGGGACTGAAGGAGGCAGTGGTCAAAAGCAAAACACTAGTGAAGGGGGAAAGGAAAAAGGAGAAAGAAAAGCATAAATGGGGGGAAAAGGATGGAGAAAAAGACACAGATAGTAATCATAACTGTGAATGTGAATGGGATGAACTCTCCCATAAAACAGAAAGGATTGCAGAATGGATTAAAAACCATAATCCTACAATATGTTGTTTACAGGAAACACATTTGAAAAAGAGTGACACATACAGGGTAAAGGTAAAAGGCTGGAGCAGAATATATTATGCTCAGCTGAAGTAAAAAAAGCAGGGGTAGCAATCCTGATCTCAGACAAAGCAAAAGCAAAAATAGATCTAATCAAAAGAGATAAGGAAGGAAACTACATCCTGCTAAAAGGCACCATAGACAATGAAGTAATATCATTACTAAACATATATGCACCAAATGGTATAGCATCCAAATTCTTACAGGAGAAGTTCAGGGAGTTACAGGAAGAAATAGACAGCAAAACTATACTAGTGGGGGACCTGAACCTCCCCCTCTGCACTAGATAAATCTAACCACAAAATAAACAAGAAAGAAGTTAAGGAGGTGAATAGAACATTAGAAAAGTTAGGTATGATAGACCTCTGGAGAAAACTGAATGGGGATAGAAAGGAATATACTTTTTTCTCGCAGTACATGGCACATACACAAAAATTGACCATGTACTAGGGCATAAAAACCTCACAATCCAATGCAGAAAGGCAGAAATATTAAATGCATCCTTTTCAGATCATGATGCAATAAAAATTATATGTAATAAAGGGCCATGGAAAGATAGACTAAAAAATAATTGGAAACTAAATAATCTAATCCTAAAAAATGATTGGGTCAAACAACAAATCATAGAAACAATCAATAATTTCATTCAAGAGAATGACAATAATGAGACAACATACCAAAACTATGGGATGCAGTGAAAGCAGTTCTTAGGGGAAGTTTTATATCTCTAAATGCTTACATAAATAAAATAGAAAAAGAGGAGATTAATGAATTGGGCATACAACTAAAAAAACTAGAAAAAGAACAAATTAAAAATCCTCAACTAAACACCAAATTAGAAATATTGAAAACCAAAGGAAAAATTAAAAATTGAAATTAAGAAAACTATTGAACTAATAAATAAAACTAAGAGCTGGTTTTATGAAAAAACAATAAAATAGATAAACCTTTGGTTAATTTAATTAAAAAAAGAAAGAAGAAAACCAAATTACTAGTATCAAGAATGAAAAGGGGAAGCTACCACCAAGGAAGAGGAAATTAAAACAATAATTAGGAATTATTTTGCCCAACTATATGCCAACAAATTTGACAATCTTAGTGAAATGGATACATATTTACAAAAATATAAATTGCCCAGATTAACGAAGAGGAAGTAAAATACTTAAATAACCCCATCTCAGAAAAAGAAATTGAACAAGCCATTGATGAACTCCCTAGGAAAAAATCTCCAGGGCCAGATGGATTTACATGCGAATTCTATCAAACATTTAAAGAACAATTAATTCCAATACTATATAGACTATTTGGGAAAATAGGTGAAGAAGGAGTCTTACCAAATTCTTTTTATGATACAAATATGGTGTTGATACCTAAACCAGGAAGAGTCAAAATAGAGAAAGAAAATTATAGACCAATTTCTCTAATGAATATAGATGCAAAAATTTTAAACAAAATACTAGCAAATAAATTGCAGCAGCTTATCACAAGAATAATACACTATGACCAAGTAGGATTTATACCACGGATGCAGGGTTGGTTCAATATTAGGAAAACTATCAGCATCATTGAGCATATCAACACAAAACCAACAGAAACCACATGATCATCTCAATAGATGCAGAAAAAGCTTTTGATAAAATACAACACCCATTCCTATTAAAAACACTAGAAAGCATAGGTATAAATGGAGTCTTCCTTAAAATAATAAATAGCATTATCTAAAACCTTCAGCAAGCATTATATGTAATGGGGACAGGCTAGAAGCATTTCCAATAAGATCGGGGTGAAACAAGGATGTCCATTATCACCACTATTGTACTGGAAACCTTAGCTTTAGCAATAAGAGAAGAAAAAGAAATTGAAGGTATTAGAATAGGCAAAGAAGAAACAAAGCTATCACTCTTTGCAGATGACATGATGATATACTTAGAGAATCCTAGAGAATCAAGTAAAAAACTACTTGAAATAATAAACAACTTTAGCAAAGTTGCAGGCTATAAAATAAACCCCACATAAATCATCAGCATTTCTATATATTACCAACAAAGCCCAACAGCAAGAGATAGAAAGAGAAATCCCATTTAAACTTACTGTAGACATTATAAAATATTTAGGAGTCTACCTTCCGAAACAAACCCAGGAACTCTATGAACACAATTACAAAACACTTTTCACACAAATAAAATCAGATCTAAATAATTGGAAAAACATCAGTTGCTCATGGGTAGGCCGAGCTAATATAATAAAAATGACAATCCTACCTAAGCTAATTTACTTATTCAGTGCCATACCAATCAAATGACCAAAAAATTATTTTATAGAGTTATAGAGTTTATAGAGAATATCAAAGGAACTAATGAAAAGAAATGCAGGGGAAGGTGGCCTAGCAATTCCAGATTTTAAATTGTATTATAAAGCAGCAATCATCAAAACTGCTTGGTACTGGCTAAGAAATAGGGAGGTGGATCAGTGGAATAGGTTAAATATGCAAGACACAGTAGTCAATGACTATAGTAATCTATTATTTGATAAACCCAAAGACCCCAGCTTCTGGGATAAGAACCCACTCTTTGAAAAACATTGCTGGGAAAACTGGAAAAGAGTATGGCAGAAACGAGGCATAGACCCAAATCTCACACCATATACCAAAATAAAGTCAAAATGGGTTCAGGACTTAGATATAAAGGCTGATACCATAAGTAAACTGGGAGAACAAGGAATAGTTTACCTATCAGATCCATGGAGAGCAGAAGAATTCATGGCCAAACAGGAGATAGAGAACATTATGAAAAGCAAAATGGATAATTTTGATTACATTAAATTGAACAGTTTTTGCAGAAAAAAAGCCAATGCAACTATGATTAGAAGGAAGGTAAAAAATTGGGAAAGAATTTTTACAACCAGTCTCTCTGATAAAGGCCTCATTTCTAAAATATATAGAGAATTAAGACAAATTTATAAGAACACAAGCCATTCCCCAATTGATAAATGGTCAAAGGATATGAACAGACAGTTCTCAGATGAAGAAATTAAAGCCATCTATAGTCATATGAAAAAATGCTCTAAATCATTATTGATTAGAGAAATGCAAATCAAAACAACTCTGAGGTACCACATCACACCTATCAGATTGGCCAACATGACAAAACAGGAAAATGATAAATGTTGGAGAAGATGTGGGAAAATTGGAACACTAATACATTGTTGGTGGAGTTGTGAAATGATCCAACCATTTTGGAGAACAATTTGGAACTATGCCCAAAGGGCTACAAAAATGTGCCTACCCTTTGATCCAGCAATAGCACTTCTAGGGCTCTATCCCAAAGAGACAAAAAAGGACCCACATGTACAAAAATATTCATAGCAGCTCTTTTTGTGGTGGCAAAGAATTGGAAATTGAGAGATGCCCATCAATTGGGGAATGGCTGAGCAAGTTGTGGTATATGAATGTAATGGAATACTATTGTGCTATAAGAATGATGAACAGGCTGACTTCAGAAAAACCTGGAAAGACTTATATGGTCTGATGCTGAGTGAAGTGAGCAGAACCAAGAGGACTTTGTACACAATAACAGCCACGTTATGCAATGACTAAGATTGTTAAACTGAACCCTTCTCAGCATTACAAGGATCTAAGACATCTGCAGAAGCCTTGGGATGGTAAATGCTGTCCACATCCAAAGAAAGAACTATGGAAGTCGAATTGCTATCACTTATTTTTACCTTCTGTTGAGTTTTGTTTCATCTTTCTAATGGTTTCTCCTATTGGTTTTAATTTTTACTTACAACTTCACTAATGTGAAAATATGTTTAATGGGTATGTAAATGTAAAGCCTATATCAGATTGTGCGCCGTCTTGGGGAGGGTGGGGGGGAGGAAGGGGGAGAAAAATTTTCAACTCAAAAGCATATGAAAGTGATTGCTATAAATCAAAATTAATTAATTTTTAAAAAAAAGACTCTATGTAAAAGAAATAAATAAATAAAAGACGTTCAGGTAGTCCAAGCCTACTGAGTTTCAGCCCAACGTGGGATGCAAATCGGATTTTCATCTTTTTTCACAATCTTCATCTTTTCTTCTGCATACGTAATTTCCCTTAAAGACAACAAATCTGGTGCACGAAAGAGGCTGAAAAGCAAGTAAAAATCCAATCCATAAGGTCAAAGAGATCCAAAAAGATCAAAGAAAGAGAAAAAATTATCTATTTGTACAAAAATATTTACAGAAGTATTTTCCAAGCAGCCAAAAATTAGAAGCTAAGGATCTGTCTCCCCATTGGGAAATGTCTGAACAAATTATGTACAGGAATGTAAAAGAATATTATTATCATGCAAAATAATGAAATAGTTTCAGAAGAAACTGGCAAGACCTCTTGAACTGATTGCAGAACAAAGTGTACAAAACTAGAACAATTTATACATTATAGAGAAAAATTACTTTGAAAGACATTAGAATTCTGATCATTCTAATGACAAACTATGAATACAGAAGAATAAAGATGAAATACGCCATTCACCTCTTCCCAGACAGGTGATGAACTTAAAATGCAGAGAAATATTTTTGGGTGTGTCTAACATGGGAATCTACATATTTACAATGAAAGCCTTATTTTTTCATTTTTTCCTTTCTTTTTCCCTTTCTTTGCTTGCTCAATTGGACTGGCTGGGGGGCTGGAGTGAGGAGGGATAAATTATAAATATATGTAAAAATAAATTTATTTTAAAAAAAGAATACTTTAATTCTAAAAAGTAATCCAGCAATAAGAGGCTTAAGCCACTTTCTGCTAAATTGAATTATACAAGTTGCACTTAAAAAGTGGAAGAGTAGAATTTCTCTCTTACCTTGGCCACTCTATATCTTAAATGTAGTAAGTCAGTATAAATAATGCTAACTGCTACTGCCTGAGCTTAAGGAGGAACCAGGAAGAAATCAGGCAAGTATAGTCAGAGAATGAAAGTATTAAGACTTTCTTCAAGCGATCACAAAGGTTTGCACTTTTAGCTCTTTGGCCCCTATCTCACTGCTGATGTCAGGATTATCAAGTTGAAGACTTTGCTGCAATTACGCTGGTAAGGCCAAAAGACCTATTGCAAAGTAAATTAAAATCACTAAACAAAAACAAGATGCCATGCAATTCTGCTGAACTCCTCAATACTAAAGTACCAAGGGAACTCGCCTCCTTGCAATGGCTTTCAATTAAAAATGGGAGGTGGGGGAAGGGAAGAAGGGCTGACCTGTCACCAGCTGGAGAACATATATATATAATCTAGGCACACAGACACTCTCACAGCCTGTTTCCACAGCAGCGTGTAGAATTAGCATCAGAGCTAGTATGCAGGGAATTTAGTTTACTGCAAAATCCTACCACAGAAAGCCCTGCCCCAGGGCAAAAGCATTACAGATATACCAAGACAAAACTGTCCCTTGTGGCTTGCTGGCTAGCAGAGACATTCTAATACCATTAGCCCATGACCAGCAACTCTAAAGGCATCTGCCTTTAAAACCTGGAAAATGACTTTGCCCACAAGCTGATCCTTACAGAAAAATATCATGACATGCCAGTTATTATGTTATGTCCTTTCTTTTTATTTTACCCTAACTCAGATATTGCTCACAATGATCCCATAAAAAAAATGAAAGAAAAATCTACAGAATATTGTTTGGCTTAAGCATTCAAAAGGAGCTACACAGCAGCAGAACCGAAGCCCTGAATCACCGTGGGAGCAGGGAGGACATATATCAGGTTAGATCAAGGTCTGTGGGCTAGAGGTTTCAAGAAGGCTCATCTTGCAAAGACCGCTTATGGCACAGGTCACTAAATCCTGATAAAGAACAAATGAAACAGTAAGGCACTGACAATGGAGCTGTGAATTAATACAACTATTATGGAAAGAATCCGGACCTAGGCAAATAAAGTAACTAAAATTACTTTTAATCTCTAACCTAGAGATTCTACTACTAGGACATCCCAAGGAGGTAACTGATAAAAAGAAAGGCCTTATATACCATAGATACATTAAAATATTGACAGAAGCATTTTTTATAATAGCAAAGAACTGGAGAAAAAACAGATACCTATCAAGTACAGAATGGCTAAATAAATTGTGGTACATGAGCATAATGTACCACATTATGCTGTAAGAAACAATGAAGATGATGAATACATATAAGCATGGAAAGACTTGTATGAATTGATGCAAAGTAAGTAGAGTTAGAAAAACAATATAGAAGACTAAAACAAAGTAAATGGAACCACAAAAAGAAATCACAAAACTATTGAAAATTAATGTTTCAAAATTATAAAAATAAGCTTAGCCCCAAAGAATAAATATGACAAGACACCTCCCCTCACTGCTTTGCTGAGGCGGGATCCACAGATGTGGAATACTGAATGTATTGTCGAGTTTTGGGGGTTTTTTAATATGTTGATCAGCTTAGATTACTTTTTTCTTTTTTTTCTTTTAAAAATAAAACTCTGTTATACGGGATACCTCCATGGCAAAGGTGTGCAGGAAGGACACAGAAGTAAATTCAAGTGATGTTAAAGCAAAATATATCAATAAATTTTATTTTTAAAATTTTAAGAAGAATATCCCTCTACCTTTATTCCAACTTTTCCTACATGAGAGCAGAATCAAAACAGAACAGAAAAGCAAGTTAAAGTCCTGTTGATAAAAAACCCATGTAAGTGTTGAAGGTAACACTGAACATAACACATCCCCAGGGTGACCTGCTTAGCTTCATACAGATAGTAGCTCTCCAAGAAACAACAATTTAGCCTTAGCAGAAAGAGGGAAAAGTTGCTACAATGTTACTTGCCTTGGACCTTGAAACAAGTCATTAATTTTAACATAGGCAGTGAAGGCAGAGTTGGTCTTTTAGTTCCAAATACAAGTGTACAGAATAAATTTATTTATTTGAAGAAATTTTATAGACTAAGTCTCATATCTCAGGCAATCTGAAGCATCATAAATCTATGCAAAAGAGTTGCCAGGGAAACTTTAAATACTGAATAGTTATTTTATTTGAAAAAATGTTTTAGTGATGTCTTTTGTTTTTACATTATAGTCACTTCCAAATATATCACTGCCACAATTAAGCCTTTATAATAAAGAAAGTTAAGTAAAACCAACAAAGTAACTTCATCTGATAAATGTATGCAACATTTCTTATGTACATAGTCTACCACCTCTGAAAAACATGCTGTGAAATCTTTTAAATAAACACTTCTCCCCTACAAAAAAGGAAAATGAAAATGTTGAAAATGTTGGAGGGGATGTGGGAAAATTGAGACACTAATTCTCTGCTGGAGTTGTGAACTGATCCAACCACTCTGGAGAGCAATTTGGAACTATGCCCAAAGAGCCATAAAACTGCACACCCTTTGATCCAGCATTACCACTGCTCAGTCTGTATCCCAAAGAGATTTTTTTTAAAAAGGAAAAGAACCTATTTGTACAAAAATACTACAGCAGCTCTTTTTGTGGTGGCTAAGAATTGGAAATGAAAGGGATTCCCACTGACTGGGGAATGACTGAATAAGTTGTGGTACATGATTGTAATGGAATATTATTGTGACGAGTAGAATGATTTCAGAAAAACCTGGAAAGAATTACATGTGACACAAAGTGATACAAAGTGAAGTGAGCAAAACCAGGAGGATATTGTGCACAGTAAGAGCAATACTGTATGACGATCAACTATGAATGACTGAGCTATTCTCAGCAATACAACGATCCAAGACAATCCCAAAGGATTCATGATGAAAAATGTTATCCATCTCCAGAGAAAGAACTGATGTTGTCTGAATACAGACTGAAACACACTATTTTTCTTTCTTTTTCTTTTTTTCCTTCCTTTCTTCCTTTTTCTTTCTTGAGTCCTCTTGTATAAAATGACTAATATGTAAATGTTTTAAATGATTACACATGTATAACCTATATCAGACTGCTTATCATCTCAGAGAGGAGGGAGGGAAGTGAGGGATAAAATTTAAAACTCAAAACTTTTTAAAAAATATTAAAAATTGTTTTTACATGTAATTGGAGAAAAAATACTATTTTTTAAAAAACACTTTCTCCCTCAGTCTGAATCACAAAGAACAGCACAGCTTAAAGTAGTATTGTTTTAATTTTACACACAGAGAGGCTGCTGCCTCTCTCATTTCACCTACCCACACATACTCATTCACCCTAGTCCTACTTGTCTCTGGCCCCTTAGGAATTCTGGAAGTCACGGAATGAATGCCAAACAGCTATAATAATACTTCAGGGGGAAAAAATGGGAAAGCCACCACCTTGCAAATTCTAAGATGTGATGACTATAAGTTGAGACATTCATGACTTCTAGGCTTAGAACTGAGAGAAAAACCCTTAAGTGAGAACCCTGTATAACATTAATGCATCCTGTGCCTCAGTTTGTTTTTTTTTTTAACTTGAAATAATAATGGTGATTCACCTTGGAATACCAATTTGTAAGTTCTTTCACTATTGAAATTCTAAAATGAAGCTGTCATTTTAAAAAATCTTAAGAGCTCCTCACAGTAACAATACTTAAGGATCTCTTTTCTTGTTCAATCACAGTTCATTTAGGAATTGCATATGATGTTTTACAATTATAGTCTGTTATGTTACAATTTCCAACATATGAACTGCTTGTAATGTGGTACTGCTACTGTATTATCATTTACTGATACATTCCTCTGACATATATATATCTAGTATTACGTATGTATTGGTATTACATGTATTAATATTATATTGCTGCATTATCTTTTCCTTGCTACTTATATTAGCTTACTTACTGCTTGTATACTATGGATATGCATGTACTGTTGCAAAGTATACATGTATTATTTAGTATATCTAATTTAGACATGTTGTCATTGAAACCTAGCTGCCCCCATACACACATATTTTGAATCAGAGCAAAATATATCCTTAAAAACTGTTCTCCAATAAGATTCTCCTATTGTTTCTTACTGCAAAATAATACTCTAAGGGGCAGCTAGGTGGCACAGTGGCTAAAGCACTGGCCCTGGATTCAGGCAGACCTGAGTTCAAATACAGCATCAGACACATAACACTTACTAGCTGTATGACCCTGGGCAAGTCACTTAACCCTATTAC